CCGCCTCTACCGCCCCCGTCGTCGCCTCTACCGGCCCCTTCACCGCTGCACCACCCAGCACCCGAGCCGTCCAGCAGCCGAGCCGCCCGACAGCCGAGCCGCCGAGCCGCCCAGCAGCCAAGCCGCCGAGCCGCCGAGCTGCCCAGCAGCCGAGCCGCCCAGCAGTCGAGCCGCCGAGCCGCCCAGCAGCCGAGCCGCTGAGACGCCCAGCAGCCGAGCCGCTGAGCCGCCCTGCTGCCGAGCCCCTACGGCTCCTACCGGCGCGCCCCTGCCCTACTTACTCTGACTGGTAAGATCACTTCTTGCTAGGCCACTAGAGTCATGGCTACCCCTAGTATCCTTACCTTCGATGCTGAGGGTCGTGCTGCTGACTTTGAGGTCTGGGTCGATGACCTCCAGCTGTTCCTATAGTGCGATAGGGCAGACGGACTCTCTCTGTTCAATCTCACCTCTGGTGTCTCTCCTGCCCCGCCTGCTACTGCTCACAGCACTGTTCGCTCACAGTGGGCCACACCCGATGCAGCTGCCCGCCTTGCTGTCCGTCGCCACTTACCGACTACTGAGCGTGCGCACTTTAGCCAGTACAAGAGTGCTAAGACCTTGTACGACGGTGTAGTTGCACGCTACTCCTCCCCTGCCACTGCTGCGCTTAGCCGCCTCATGCTACCGTACTTGTTCCCTGACCTTGCTGCATTTCCCACACTCGCTGACCTCATTACGCACCTTCGCACTAGTGACACTCACTACCGCGCTGCGCTACCTGCTGAGTTTTGTGCCAAGAACCCCCCCCCCCCCATATACATCACCCTCTACTACATAGTCACCCGGCTCCGTGACTCCCATCGCTTAGTCAGGAACCACTTCCTCTCAGTTTGCCCCACCACACTCACCGTTGACCTCCTCGAGGAGCGCCTCCTAGCAGCAGAGAAGAGCATAGTGTTGGAATAACTTGTTAGAGACTAAGGATGGAGTCTACGAAGATTAGGTGGCTAAAATTCTCAAAATCGTTGGCTTAGAATTCTGGACAGAAACGTCGACTTCACAAGAAACGCCGTCAACAAAAGGTGCACTGTTAAAACTTCACCAAACTTAGATATGTTGTAGCGCTAGTCCGTGGCTACAATTTCCAAGTTGAATCATACGAAAAGATGAAGTGTTTCTTGAGTTATCAATTTCGGCGCACTAGGGGGTATGCTGCCATAGAATCTTAACTCAATCACAAAGTTCTCACACAAGTTCACAATTACTACACAAGAGAGTTAGAGTAGCAATAAACCAGGGGGGAGGGATGAGGAGGACGAGATTGAAGGTCCCAAGGGAGTCTCCAACCAAGGAAACCCCATGCCACACAATTCCCTTCTCCATAAGCAACCTCACTTTCACTTTTGTTTCTTTCCAACCCATGCCATCCACCTTGCCCAACTTGGCCACACTTGCCAACCTGGTTTGGCTCCTCCCAACCACTTGGCAGCATCTACAGTGATGTTGACGAATTTCCCAACCCCCAAAAGTCTGTACCCCATATTGAGTCAACCCCACAACTTCCCATAGTCACCACAACCAAATATCAAAAGCATACGAACTCCAACGTTCGTAACTTTCTTGTTCGTGCTCCGATTGAAGCGATACTTGGTTCGTCGGAAAGCTCTTGAGCAGAGGAGTCACTTCAGATATCTGCTCAAGCCAAACAACATTCACACACACTCAGAAAAATCAAACCACATCAAACACAAATTCTTGCACACGCTCACACCACGCATGCAACACACGAACATATGATGGGAGGCAGACAGACATGAATGCATATGATTGCATCACACAACAAACTCCCCCTCTGGCTGCCAACCATCATCCCACATGCCATAGCTCATTCATGCATCCTCAATGCACACTCATCCCTGCAAGCTTCATGCCCTTCCAATGCTCAGATTCAGCGAGGCGCTTGGTGAGAATGTCAGCCGCCTGCTGATGGGTCTTCACAATCTCTAGCCGCACCTCCTTGTCTAGAAGCCTCCTCACCCAGTGCCACTTAGGCCTGATGTGTTTGGTCAGCCCATGAAGACAAGCATTCTTCGCTAGCTTCACCGCTGACTCATTGTCACCGAAAATTACAGTCGGCTCCCTCAGGCACATTCCGATCTCCTCCAACAAACGCTTCAGCCAAACCACCTCCTTTGCCCCATGATGCAGGGCCATGTACTCTATCTCACACGAGGACTGCCCCACCTCGTTCTGCTTCTTGCTGTGCCAGCTCACTGCACCACCTCCAAACAGGCACGCATAGCCTCCAATGCTGGTGCCATCCGCCTTCACAGAGTTGAAGCTGGCGTCGGTGTAGCAAGTCAGAAGCATCTCCCCCTTGCCCAAATCAGCTGCACCCCTCTGCAGCCTCTATCTCACAGCACTGTACTCCAAGCCCACTGATGCTGTAGCGCTCACATAGCGGACCAACCTCTTGGCCGCTTCCAGCTGCTCATGAGTGGGGCGTGCAACCACACTTGCAAGCCTGGATGTAGCAAAGGCAATGTCAGGCCGTGTGTGGTTAGCCGCATAATTGAGTGCCCCCACCATGGAATGAAACAGCTTCCTGTCACTCTCACCCACCACCTCCTCATCAGCACAGGGCTCCACAGTGAACCCTGAAGGCAGTGGGGTGGCTGGCTTCCCTCCATTTTACAGCCCATACTTCTCGGCCAGCCCCTCACAGTACTTCCTCTAATGCAACCTCAACACTCCCTTGTCAAGGTCCCTCTCCACGTGCATACCCAGGTAGTACTTCACATCTCCCATCTTGGAACACTTGAACTGCATCTCCAGCATCTCCTCCACACGCTCAATCATTGCAGACGACTCAAAGAAGAGCAGGATGTCGTCCACATACACCAGGAGTATGAGAAACTGCTCCTTCTCTTGTAGCAGGAACAGGCTGTGGTCACACTCACTCTTCTTGAACCCCCCAGCCAGCAGTGTCTCCTCTAGCTTGTGGTACCATGCACGAGGAGCCTGCTTCAGGCCATAGATGGCCTTCTTCTGCCTGCACACCCTGGCGCTCCCATCATCCAAACCCTCAGGCTGTAACATGTACAGCTCCTCTAGAATGATCCCATTGAGGAAGGCGGTGGTAATGTCCATCTGCTTCACCCGCCATCCACAGTTTGCTGCCATTGCGAGTGACACTTTCAATGTTGTGCCTTTCCCCACAAAAGCAAAGATCTCGTCATAATCCTTCCCCTTTGTCTGCTCAAACCCCTTAGCCACAAGCCTTGACTTGTAGCGGGTCAGCTCCCCATCTGGTCCGTACTTATGCCTGAAGATCAGCTTGGAAGAAATGGCCTTCTTCCCAGGTGGCACCTCACACAGCTCCCACGTCTCGTTCTCCAGCAGAGAGTCATACTCCTCCTTCACACTCTGCTTCCATTTTTCAGCATCCGGCCCGCTCAATGCTTCAGCTAGCGTCTTGGGCTCTGGAACGGTTGCCCAGTAGCAGTGTGCTATCTCATCCTCATCACACTGCTCAGCCACACTCCCAGCCCCACCTTTGGCTTGCCAAAGCTCGGATAGGTCAGCCGGTTAGGAGGGCGCACATCCCTCCTTGGACGGTCAGCCGGACGTGCGGCACCTTGTGAAGCATCTTGCTGCTGCTGCTGCAGCTGCGGAAGCTGCTGCTGCTGTTGCTCCTCCACCACAGGTTCTCCCCCATCCTCAGTAACCCCAGAGATTTCCTGCTCTGAGACAGTGACCTGCACTTGTCTCGAAGGCCGCTGCACCTCATCGGCCTCAATGATCAGCGGTGTAGTAGGAAGCTTCTGCTGCTGCGAGAATTCAACAGACGCAGAATTAGTTCCTGCTGCAGCAGCAGCTGCTGGTGCAGTGCGCTCGCCTGCTCAATCGCTCGCATATCCTGCTGTACCACCTGCTTCTGCAGCCTCCTCACTGCCCTCCTCTGCAGCTGCACCTCCCCCTTTAGTACCTCTAGTCCCTCTGCTATCATTGCAGCGTCTCTAGAAACCCTAGTGAGCGTGTCTTTGAGTCTCTTGTGCTCCTCCTCCCCCAGTTGCTGCTGCTGCTCCTGCTCCCTGAGTGGAGCAACCGGGGCTGCCATCCCATCCAGAACCTCTCCAAACTGAGCCAGGATCACGTTAGCTATGGGCCGAACCTCGACGGTAGGATCAGTATCGGCCTGAAAGGGAGAGGAAGGAGGGAGGCAGTGCAGTGGGGATAAATAGAAGATGTGGTTACAATGGCAACTACCAAGGGTAAATATGAGATGTGGTATGTGGATAAATAGAAGACTCCCAAGGGGATAGAGACAAGACAAGATTTACGGTGGGAGTGCGGGCAAGCAGGCAGCTCACCTGTCGCTTGAGAAGTAAAGAGTTGTGGGAGGGAGAGAGAGCTAGCGGGCAACCCACCTGGCGCTAGAAGCTGAAGCTTCCTCCCCTCACGGAGTCACTACCAGGGTGTCTGTTAGCCGCACAGCGCTCCAGCACCCCCAACAGCGCGTCGCCATTCATGCATTGACAATGGGAGGGAGAGTGAAAAGCAAGCAAGCGGGCAACCCACCTGTCGCTTAAAGCTGAAGCCTCCTCCCTGCAAGGAGTCACTGCGGGGGGTGTCTGTTGGCAGCGCAGCGCTCCAGCACCCCCAAAAGCCCCTCACCCTGTGCCTTGACCCGCCCAAAGCCCCTCACCCTGTGCCTTGACCCGCCCAAAGCCCCTCACCCTGTGCCTTGACCCGCCCAAAGCCCCTCACCTTGTGCCTTGACCCGCCCAAAGCCCCTCACCCTGTGCCTTGACCCGCCCAAAGCCCCCTCACCCTGTGCCTTGACCCGCCCAAAGCCCCTCACCCTATGCCTTGACCCGCCCAAAGCCCCTCACCCTGTGCCTTGACCCGCCCAAAGCCCCCTCACCCTGTGCCTTGACCCGCCCAAAGCCCCTCACCCTGTGCCTTGACCCGCCCAAAGCCCCCTCATCCTGTGCCTTGACCCGCCCAAAGCCCCCTCACCCTGTGCCTTGACCCGCCCAAAGCCCCCTCACCTGGCGCCTGAAGCTGAAGCCTCTGCGCACGGAGTCACTCCCAGGAGGTTTGTTGGCAGCACAGCGCTCCAGCACCCCCAGCAGCGCATCGGCATTCAAGCAGCGCTTGCCGACCCGCAGCACCCTGCGCGCGCGCAACTTGCTTCTCCCGAAGCCTCTCCACCATTTGTTGACTCGATTGAACCCTTCTTTGAGAGCTGCGGCTGACTTGGCCACTACTGAATCCTCGAGCTGGGAAGGAGGAGAGAGAGAGGGAGAGGGGGTGAGGAGGGGAAAGGAGGGAATGGATGAGAAGGCAGTAGCGGTTGACTCGATCTAAGCATTCCTTGAAAGCTGCCACTGATTTGGCAACCACTGAATCCTCAAGCTAGGGAGGAGAGAGGGAAAGAGGGAGGGGAAGGGAGGAAAGGAGGGAAAGAATGAGAAAAGCAGCAGCAGCTAATTTGCTGAAGCCTTTGTTGAGGGCCGCGACTGTGTCTGACTTGGCCACCATCAAATGCGCAGGCTGCGGAGAGAAAAAGGCTGGAAAGGGAACGGAGGGGATGAGGGACAAGACGAAAACGCGTGAAGACGCCTTTGTTTGATGGATGCAATGGACTTGAAAGCTCACGGAGGCCTATCTTCTAAGATGTTTTCCTCATGGTATTAGGGCAGAAGCGGTAGACTATTCTCACCGTTATGTATCCATATTCACCCTCCTCTGCACAAGTAGGTGCCTTGTGAGTAGAATAGGCTATGAGAATGTGGTGGTGTTGGTTGTGGCTTGTGGATGACATGTGAACAACCCTCTGCGGTCAAGTCAACCTTCTAGCAGCGTTTTCATGTTTTGTCCATAGTGTTCATGCATTTGGGGAAGTCACCATCCGTATTGGGTAAGTGCTGTATATGAAGCTTAGTTGAGAAAGACGCGTCCTACGCCTTAGACGCATGTGTCCAGACGCAGGACGCAGCACTAGGATCAGAGAGACGCACCAAAAGACGCATGGCCGGGCAGGGCAAAAAAAACCCCCGGGCAGGCAAAAAATGTTCCTGCCAACAGTTACGACCAACATCATTCACAACTAAGTTTTTGCATGACTCTAGGAGCGATAACATTGGAAAGGTACTCAAATCGTATGGCAGGGGGCGAGCGGGTGATGGGGACGGGAAACCTGGGACGACTGTTTCTAGCAAACAAATCCGCCAGATCCAGTCGACCTAAAATCCACATCGATTGGAGGTTGGGTTGAGAGTTCGACGAAGTGCAGTGCAAAGCGGTTGTGTTGTTGTAGGTCCACATGTGAAACGATTACAATTAGATACCTATTTTTTCCAACTCTTTTACACCCCTGAACCGCACTAAATCCCATCCACTCTACCTAACCCAACCTCTCCAATCTCTACATCCTGCGACTACGCACCCCACCTTGACACCAATGATGTGCATCGAAATCGCGAATCACGATTTCATTGCGCAGCCTTTTTCTTCGCGGGCCTGCTGGTAAATACCGTAAGAAAAAAAATCGGGCAGCCCGATGTTTTTTTTGCAGTGTGTCTTGCGTCTGGACACGCGCCCTGCGTCCGTGCGTCCAAACGCAGGACGCAGCGACCTCCGAGCATCTTTCTCAACTAAGATATGAAGGCACGCAGGTGCATATCCCTAATATAAAGCCAAAAAATTATCTGATGTTTGGTATGAGTTTTGCTGTTGATGTCAGTGTGATTTATCCAAATGCTAGCTAGTCTCTGTTTCCTCTACCTAGGTTAATTACCTAAAGGTGCACTCTCAAGCTGAGCAGGTAGGAGACTCTATGTGAAGTGCTCACAGGGTAAGGTTGACTTTTGAGGCGCGTCAAAAGTGCTCACAGGGTAGATTGAGTCCAAGTCAAGCCGCGGCAGGCGACATGCTGATGTTTCTTAATTTGTCATTGTCAAGTCAATCGTTAAGCTTGAGAATGCACCTTTAGGTAAGTGACATAGGCAGCGGAAACATAGACTACACTTAGACTTGCTAGCATCTGGATCAATCACACCGACATCAATAGCAAAACTCGTATCGAGCATCGGATAATGCTTTGGCTTTATATTAGGGATATGCACCTGCGCGCCTTCATACACAACATTTACCCAAACCAGCAGCTACCACTACTAAAAGGAAGCAAGGCTAGTAATCTCTCACCTTAAGTGTATGAACACTAAAACACGAAAACAGTACTAGAACATTGACTGGACAGCAAAGGAGAGAGAACTGCTCACATGCCACCCACAAGCCACAACCAGCACCACACCACACCATAGCCTATCATATTCTCACCGTTACATCGACGTCCTCTACGCCATCATGAGCAAGTGGTGCTGCAGTCGTCCTGGCTTCCGGTAGCCTGTTGTGAGTCCACCTAAGAAATACGAGTTTACCCTGCTCTCACCGTAACGTCAACATCCTCTGCGCCCAGCATGAGCAGGTGCTGCTGCAGCCGTCCTGGCTTCCAGTAGTCCGTTGAGAGGCGCAGCAGCACGTTGCGCAGCACATACCACATGTCCACTGGGAACGCTGGCGATTCTTCCGTAGATTTCTGGTTGCAAGAAAGGGGTGGCGGGGGGGGGGAAGGGAGGAAGGGAGAGGATGAGAGAGGTGGAATCAGTGCTTGCTTCCAGTATCCAGTAGTCCGTTGAGAGGCGCAGCAGCACGTTGCACATGACATACCACATGTCCACTGGAAATGCCGGTGAATCTTCTGTAGATTTCTGATTGGAGGGGAGTAGGGTGGGAGAAGGGAGGAAGGGAAAGATTGAGGAGGGGAGGAATCAGTTGTTCAAGTCTCCACACACATACTACATGTCCATGGGGAACGCTAGCGAAACGTAAGTGGAATTCTGGGTGCAAGGAATGGAGGGATGAGGGAGAGGGCAATGGCAGTGAAGAGGGGCAGGGACGGAGAAGGGACGGTTGGCACAGGGGGGAAGGCAAGGGAGGAGGCGTGTGAACGGACTGAAGGCACCTGCACTTCCCAGAATCTGTGTTTTGAGAATCCTAAAGAAAAATGCGAAGCAATGCAACGCAATGACGTGTGGAGGTTCAAGCGATGGAACTTGACCTAGGCACGGGGAGGTTGAAGAGGTAGGAGCTTACTCCGACTTCCATGAACGTGTCCACAAACAATGGCGATGAGCATGTTGAGAATGACAAAGACCTTTACGCTGATGTAGGCGACCCATACGATGCGATGATGTGGTTGGGGTGGTTGAGGAAGCTTACCCTGACTTCCAAGAAAGCATCGACCACAATAGCGATGAGCACGTTGAGCATGACGAAGACCATGACACTGATGTAGGCGACCCAGAAGATGATGGCTGCTGTGAGGTTCCACCCCTCCAGCTGTATGAAGTAGTAGCCCGTGCTGTTGTCGTTGATCAGGATGAGGAAGCAGGAGACCATCGACATCGCCACTGTGCTGAACTGCGGGAGGGGAGAGAGAGGGGTGAATGGGGGGAAGAAGGACAGTTTTTTGGACACAAGAGGAGGGAGGGATGAAGTAGTAGCCGGTGCTGCTGTGGTTGATCAGGATGAGGAAGCAGGAGACCATCGACATCGCCACTGTGCTGAACTGCGAAAGGGGAGAGAGAGGGATGAATGGGGGGAAGAGGGAGAGTTTTTTGGACACAAGAGGAGGGAGGGATGAAGTAGTAGCCGGTGCTGCTGTGGCTGATCAGGATGAGGAAGCAGGAGACCATCGACATCGCCACTGTGCTGAACTGGAACTGCAAGTGGAATGGAAAGGGTGGAGGGGGGGAAGAGGGGTGAATGGGGAAGAAAGGCGAGGGTTTTGGACATGAGAGGAGGAGCCGAGGAGTATCTGGTGCTGTTGTGGTTGATGAGGAGGGTGGGGAAAGCGAGGGGCAGGGAGTTCTCCCCACCTGTTGCACCTGCCAAACCTGCTAACACCACTCTATGCCCAGCGACGTACCTGCTCCAGTGTTCGACCGAACACGACGTAGGCGTAGAGAGAGAAGCCGATGAACATGATGGCCCAGAGCAGGAAGAAGTGCACGAGGGCGGGGAAGGCTGCTGCCATGGTGCGCGTGAGGATGGCGATGCGCGGCTGGAAGTCCATCAGCTTGAGCAGACGGAGGAGGAAGAGGAAGACGCTGAGAGTGGGGACAGCGAGTAAGACGGGAGAAAAGCGACAGAAGAAAGGGCAACACGAGGTTAGATTATGGGCATGCGTGGCTGGAAGTCCATTAGCCTGAGCAGACGGAGGAGAACGGGGAGGACGTTGAAGGATGGCAGGGTGTGTGTGTACGTGGATGAGGAAGAGAACGACGTTAGAGGATGGGGTGGGTTGAAGACTATCTCTATGATTCCCTACGATTCTTCCATACTCAATTGATCCTATGCAAAAACACACGTCACGCGTGGCTACAGCTCTATTGGTACTATCTAAGAGAGAATCACTTGATGCGCTGCTGCAGCGCCATCCATTAAGCTCCTAATAGTGCTCTCTGAGACGCACTCACTTGATGTCCTGCAGCGACACGAGGATGGAGCGCCACTGCACGAGGTGGCTCTGTTGGTGCTCACTGACGCTCATTTGATTCTATGAAGGGCCACGCACCGTTCAAGCTTCCTGTTGCTGCTCTCTGAGACGCACTCACTTGATGCCCTGCAGCGACACGAGGATGGAGCGCCACTGCACGAGGTTGCGAATGGAGTCGTATACTGCCTGCGCTTGCTTGTAGCCCACCGGGGGGTACTGCAGCTGTTGGGGAGAGGAAGGGGGGAGGTGTGTGGGAGACGGGGAAGCGGTAAGGGATGTGCAGGGAGAAAAAAGTAGAGGCCACTGCACGTGGTTCCTCCCTCACAGAGTGGTATACTGCCTGCGCTTGCTCGTAGCCCACTGGGTGTATTGCAGCTGTTGGGGTGGGTGGGGAATAAGCGGATGGAGGAAGAAGGAACGAAGGGGGAGGGAAAACGCAGAGAACAAAGAAGGGCACACGATGTGGAAAGCTTTACCCCGCAAGGCCAACGCACGTTGCATTGAAAGAACTTACCCGCCGCCAGACGAAGGGCGAGTCCCCAGTGACGCAGATGCTGTAGCAAGAGCCTGCACCTGGACGGATCCGGGCAGCTGCATACATACTTGTGTTATTCCCGGATACTTCCTGTTCATGCATGACACAAGTATGTATGCTTCCTACACGGCAAGACAACTGTGCGCCAACCCATCCCGCATAGCACGCTGTATGAAACCGGCCTACCCGCCAGACGAAGGGCGAGTCCCCTGTGACGTAGATGTCGTAGCGAGGCTGCACCTGGATGGAAGGAGAGGAGTATGCATACAGATGAGGCAACACATGTAGTGTGTCGCATCCACTCACCCGCCAGACAAAGGGCGAGTCTCCCGTGACGTAGATGTCGTAGCGAGGCTGCACCTGGAAGCCTCCGGCCATCTGCACTGATATGATGAACCTGCGCAGGGGGAAAGAAGGAGTACGTGGGGGTTAAGAGCGGTGGGATGCGGTGGAGATGAGGGGGGGGGATGCTTTGAGACGACTAAGAAAGCATTTGGAAAGGGCCGGCCAGTTGCACTGACTTTTGAGGCGCCTTAAAAGCCGTCTCTACATAAAATTGTTCACTTGCTCTCCCATTGCCATGTCTCACCACATGAGGATGCGGATGAATTGGATGGTGAGAGAGCACACATCCAGCCACTACTCACCACACCACTTACTCACCACTTGCGCACCAATCCACTCACCACATGATGATGCCGATGAACTGGATGGTGAGTGAGAGGACATCCAGCCAGTTCCACAGCGTTCGGAAGTATGATGTGATCTGAGGGGATGGGGGGAAGGGAAGTGGAGGGGAGGGGAGGGAGAGAACGCAAGGTTCCGTAAGGGAGAAGGAATGGCATTTGAGGCGAGGAAAGGCCAGCATCAAATTACAGAAGCAGCACCCATTCACTCTCCCGGTCTCAAGCCATCAGAGGAGCACAACTGAGCTCACGCACTCACCCTGCTTGTCTCCAGCCAGCACTGAAACGCCTCAACGAGCTCCTCTATGAGGTTCCACACCACCGCGCACACGTACAGCACCGACACTGTGAGGCGCACCCAGTCGGCACTGGACGAGTAGAGCTCCACGTCTACCGGATCCACGTTGTACGTGACTGCGATCTTGCCCCCGATCTGTGGGGAGGGGGTTGAGGTTGGGTCTATGTTTAAGATGCCTCAAGTTCACCCAGTCGCCGGTCGGCACTGGAGGAGTAGAGCCCTCCACGTCTACTGGGTCCACATTGTACGTCACTGCTATCTTGCCCCCGATCTGTGGGGAGAGGGGGGGGAGAGGGCGATGGAGAGGGGAAGGGGCCTCAATAATGGACCACGGCGCACACATACAGCACCATCACAGTCAGCTGCACAGTCGGCACTGGACGAGTAGAGCTCCACGTCCACCGGGTCCACATTGTATGTCACTGCTATCTTGCCGCCGATCTGTGGGGAGAGGCAAGGAGAGAGAGAATGCTTTCAGGCTGATTCAGCAGTCACCTCAGGACACAAGAAGAGGGAGGAGGGTGTATGTCACTGCGATCTCACCCCAAAGGAGAGGGTGAGTTCCAGGTGTCGATCCAACAGGAATGCAGGTAGGAGAAAGTGGATTTCTGCTAGCACTACATTCCGCAGCCCTCTACGAAACCACTCCACACCCTCAGACTGCGTATGAACTTCAATGCTTAGAACGACGCAGTTTGATTAAGGCTGTGGAATCGTACCCGCAAGCAACCCTCTAAGAACTTCAATGTTTAATGCCATTGTTGTGTTAAATTGGGCCGCACACCCCCTGAACGGATGTCATAACAGTGCGGGATGGTGCAACAAGGGGCTATACATGGGATGGGACAAGTGTGGAGCAGCTGTGAACTGACCTCAAAGTTGAGTTTCACGGTGGTGTACACAAACAGACTGGAGTCGCCTGTGGTGGGTGGGTGGAGGGTGTAACAGGGGGTATTGCAAGAGAAGGAAAAACTTATAAGTCGATGCAAGAGGTGTTGTGCCAGGGAAGGAAACACATGAGCCGATCAAAATGACATTCTAAGGGGAAGCAAAAGCAAGGCACAAAGAGCGAGCAGAATGTGCAGGATCAGGAGGAAATGGGAGAAAAGGGAGAAAAGGGAGAAAGAGAGAAAAGACAATGCTATCATTGCAAGGCAAGGATCATGAGCACACGCACGCAACGTTGTAGGTGAGCATGGCGACGGAGCATGCCACCACCGCTGTTGTGTGCGCTGGGCCTGAGCCCATTTTTGAGGTGCCTCAAAAGGTAGCTATCTTCACAGCACAACACACCACACAGACTCACGCATCGTTGTAGGTGAGCATGGCGACGGACACGGACTGTGTGGCGTTGTCGATGAAGAAGCTGTCCGCTAGATACTGCAGGCGCTGCGTGGCCGCCTCGTTGTCCAGATTGATGTCGAATATCACCGGGAATACCCTCTCGTTTGCCTGGTGGTATGGAGGGGTTGGGGGCAAGGGGTGAAGAAAGAGAAGGAGGGAAGGGGTTCTCAATGCAATGCCGAGTGGCCGCCTCGTTGTCCAGATTGATGTCAAATATCACGGGGAATACCTTCTCGTTCGCCTGGCACCTGTGGGGATGGGGGGAAAGGGGGTGGGGAAGGGGGAGGGGGGATGGGAGCCCTAGTCATTGCCGCATGGCGGCCTTGTTGTCCAGGTTGAGGTCGAATATCACGGGGAACACCGTCTCGTTCGCCTGGTGGGCGGGAGGGAGAGGGGGAAGGGGATGGGAGTGGGGTTGGGAGGGGTTATCATTGCACATGGCTGCCTCGTTGCCCAGATCGATGTGGAATATCACCGGAACACCTTCTCGTTCGCCTGGCAAGAAAGAGGGAGGGAGGGAAGGAGGGTGGGGACGGGCAAGGGGCTATTGTTGCGCGTGCATGGGCCCTTTGTTGATTGAATTAAACTGATTGCAGATATCATCAGAGATCATGATTGCTTGGTGCCATGACCACGCTCTTGCCAGGTTGGCCAGAAGAGGCTGGCGAGAAGAGGCTGGTGAGAAGAGGCTGGTGAGAAGAGGCTGGTGAGAAGAGGCTGGCGAGAAGAGGCTGGCGAGAAGAGGCTGGTGAGAAGAGGCACTCACCTTGGCGACTTGGAAGCCATATGGCACGCCGTCAGGCCGCGTCGCGATTGGCTGCATGGTGTCCACGTCAGCGCTGGTTAACGAGTCGTTGAGCGCCACGTAGGCGTCAGGGAGGTAGAGCGAGGACGAGGGCAGGAAGTGTGGGTTGACGCCAAAGGGAGCTGTGGATATGCCGTTCATGCAGTTTTGGAAGAGGGAGGAGAACCTGGGGGATGGGTGGCAGGGAGAGGAGGGGGAGAGAGAGGTTGGGAGCTTGCTTGCTGAACGGTTGGGACTGCAGTGGACATGCCGTTCATGCAGTGCAGGAAGCTAGAAGTGGACCTCGGGGGTGGAAAGGGAAAGTGGAAGGGGGAAGAGAGGGGGTTGGGCGTGTTGAGAGGGAGAGTCCTCTGAACACGTTGTTAATGCCGGCAGGTGCACATGCTGCTGATGCAGTGGTGGAAGAGGGATGAGAACCGGGGTGGAGGGGAGGAAGCAGAGAATGGAGATTTGAGGCATCTTAAAGCAAGAAAGTGGAAGTGAGGGGAATCAAGGATGGAGAGGAGAGAAGCACGGGGAGCGAGGGGGGGGTGATGTTTAACATGCTGACCTGGATGGCTAACATGCTGACCTGGATGGCTAACATACTGACCTGGATGGTGGACATGCTGACCTGGATAGGTGTCCGGCTGACCTGTATGGCTGGCAGGTTACAGCGTCCCACCGGGTCTGCTCGATTTTCAGTCCTATCAGCACCCTGCCATGCACCACATGCCATGCACCACATGCCATGCACCACATGCCATGCACCACATGCCATGCACCATATGCCATGCACCATATGCCATGCACCACATGCCATGCACCACATGCCATGCACCACATGCCATGCACCACATGCCATGCACCACATGCCATGCACCACATGCCATGCACCACATGCACCATGTGCCGTGTAGGAAGACATGAATGCCCCATGGAAGCAGGCTCAACGTCAGTTAGTAGATAGAAAGCACTAAAAAACCCGGTCCTGCCTCTAGCTGTACCCAGTCATCAGAGGGCTTCGTGGTCAAACACAGAAGCTCCCCCTGCATTATCGGAACACGGAGGAGGTAAGTGCAATATGTTATGAGCGTTATATGCGTCCTGAGGGGGTGCTGCATACTGATGTTGATGGTGCACGCACTCACAGCAAGCTTTGACTCCTACGCAGCTCGTGAAGAAGCTCGTGCGCATCTTTGGCGGCGTCAAGGGGTTCGTTACAAAGCCACGGATTGTTGTTGACCCCAACACAAACGAGCGGATTTACTCTGCCCCTGAGACGGCAAGATGGCTGGAAGAGGCTCAGGTACGCGATGATTCTCCAGAGGACATGGCCCGCTGCGCATACGTTTTGGCAGACGTACTCAAGAGCACGAGTGTGTATGTGGCAGAAGGAAGTGAACGACCCATCAGCCTGGGTAATTGGCGTCATTGTATACAGCGACGGCACCAACGCAACACGCAATGGGCGCAGGCAGGCGTGGCCCGTCCTCATAACGCTGTTCAACATACCTGAGGAGTTGCGCAAGACGGAACCTGGCCATGTTCTGGCTGCTGTGCTGCCGTTCCCCCCCGAGTGGGCAACTTCTACCGAGAAAGCAAGAGTGTTTCAGGAGGCAATTTGGATCATTCTCGGGCCCCTCATGCGAGAGTCTTCAAGGTATGCACCTACTCCGAATTTTGCTACATGTGCTGCGCATAGTAGTTCCACCACCAGCCTTTTGGTCAAACAATGTCCTGATCACCTGTTTCCTTCTTTTACATCCCTTTCGGCCCGGCACTCCATTAAGGGTGTTCTATGTCACCGATCCACAGGGAGAGCCTGTGAAGGCCGTCCCATGCTTCTTTGGTTACGCTGGCGACTTCATCGAACAGTGCCGCGTCACCGCGACGATGCAAACAGGCACCAAAAGGCCCTGTTGCACATGCTACGTATCTGACGACCTCCTTGGAGACTTGGAGCATAAGGCCACGCCGAGGACCGTAGACTCCGAGATGCATATGTTGCGCAACATGCTTGCGTGCAAGACTGTGAAAGATGCTGAAGCGATTCAGTCCGAGTGGTCAACCCATCCAGCGGAGGTATGTGTGTGTAGGGAGCATTGATGGTGGCGATGTAATGATAAGCTTGCCATCGTACCGTATGACGTGAACCCCTCTCATCCTACTTGCACCACCCTGCAGTGTGTGTTATCGCGGTGGAATTTCTCGGACACTGTGTGGGGCAACCCATTTGGTGCTGCTGTCGCGGACATCATGCACGTGCTGGACTATGGGATGGCGCTGCACTTGCTGGAGAACCACATCGCTGTTCTTTCCAAGCCAGAGAGGCGAGAAGTCGAGAGGTTAGTCGTATTGTAAACTGGGATATGGGCGGAACATAGAACGCCAATGACGTGAGCACGATGTGAAGTGAATGCATGTGTTTGGGGTTACACAGGGAGGTCCAATGGTAATCCCTTTGAGCGCCCCTTCCCGGGCCCTCCACACATCCAGGCGCAAAAAGACAACCAAAGGAGAGACACCAAGTGTTCTATTGCGTCTACCCGGAGGCAGTTCCTACTTCATGAGTGGGGCCAACTACGCAGCCTTCGAACACCGCAGCATGATGCAAGTGATGCCAATTCTGGTGGCCGACAAGTCTGCGCTGCAAGCAGGAGTGGCGGGAGACCTGGCTGCGCTCCGCGTGCGTGCATTCAGGATGTACGCAACCTTCTACAAGGCGTTTTTGGGTGTCACCGGACACACGGACTCCACTCTCGCCATCGCCCGTGGACACGCCATCAAGTATGGAGTATAATCCGGGCATCGGTATAGTGGAGGTTGCCTGCGAATGTTCGCCGGAGAGTTGGGTGCTTGCTGTCACTGACCGCATCTTTGATTTGCGTGTTCTTTTTTCCGACGGGACATGGCATGATCCACAGGCTGGTCGAGATTTTGCCGCAGGCGTATCCGGATCATGCATCGCATTGGCGCTTTCCAAAGATTCACATAATTGTCCACATGCTGGACAATGTGATCATGCGCGGAATGCCGCACCACTATAGCACGGAGATGTGGGAGCATACCCACAAGGGGACGGTCAAGATCCCGGTCAGTGGCAGCAACTGGAAGGACATCCCCCGAGGCATCGTGGAGGAGGAGGTGCAGAGAGAGATCTGCAGGGAGGTGGCACAGGACGCGGGTGGCGGGCATGAGTATGCGACGGCGCTGCGCGAGGTGAGACTGTGCGTAGCATATCCCTTGCATGACGGAATGATTGGTGGACACGTCAATACCGCGTAACTTGTCTGCGGACACGATCGCGACATAGCCATTGCCTTCCACACCCGCAGGCTGTTGAGACGATGAAGCCCGTGCTCACGAGGAAGGGACTCACAATGCGGCCGACGGAGGAGGGAGATGCGGTGATGGGTACCTACCGAACGGCACTTGGCGACCTCATGGATGCGCTACCAGGCAGCATGGTGGCTGCCAAGATCACCGCATCTGAGGTCGTGGTGCGTATACAATGGCAAAGTGTATCTTCCACCAAGGTTGCTGTTGTTGAGTGCTAAGCCCCAGTGTGTGTGCGTATGGAGTATACACCCGATGTTGCTCCTTATCCCAATGCCCCACTTATGCAGGCCCACACCGCGGTGGCAATTCCGCGCACCAAAGGCGCTGCACTGGTCCCCAAGGGGGCGTTCATCAAGGCAAGCCCCAAGGAGAAGTGGTTCACTGACTTTGCAGTGAATTCAGGCAAGAAGGAGGAGTGGTATGCGAAGGCGCTGTGTATTTTCAAGGTGGCGACCACAGAGGGCGACCGGAAGGGGTTTGTGTACGTGCGGTGGTATGAGAGGGCAGGCATATGCCCCCTCACCACCTGCGTGCAGTTGACACCGTCACGCAAGGACACAAGGCACGCAGTGATTGAGGTGGAGAGCATTCTGCGAGTTGTGCACAATTGCCGCTCTTTCAGCAACCCTGCAGTGTTGCTGCTGAACAAGATTCTTCTGTGTGAGTGATTTTCATGAGGGGGTTTGAGGAGGCGTTTGAGGTTTGTGGTGTGCATATGCTGTAGTTATTTTCACAGATTGATACTCAAACCGTAGACTTACACGCCCTAGTCGCATGATGAAAGACGGGTTGTCACTTGGGCGATCCAGAGACCGACACATAGAGCGCAATGACCGCAACTGTAGTGCCGTGGTGTGTACATGCTTATGTGATCGTTGAAGCTGTTATCGGAACACTCAAGTTTCTTTGAATGATGAGTGTACTTATCTTATGCGAGACGATGGGGTATGCTGTATTGCGCACTGAGTGAAACTGCAAACCCCCCTGGGGGGCGCGGTTTGGTGTTGCAAGCAAGAGGTACGTGGCACGCCCGCATTCCGGCGAGGGACGGAGTCACGGTTGGGCAGTGGGTGTAATCAGAATGACGCACAACCATTGGTGCGCAGGTTCGTATCATTGGTGGACACTATTGGGGGGTGTACCAAGTGCGATTGCTTTCTGGGTACGGGGTTCCAATAGTAAGCTGATGTGGCACAAGTGTGTCCTCAGATGTTAATACAGAAAGAACTGTGGAGCACGATGAAACCCATGCAGTTGCGGGGATTGTGTTTCACCCAGCGTTGCAGCATACTTTTTTGAAAAAATAGTGTCCCTGGTATCTCTCCTTGAGGCACTGAAGGCACCGCCCGAAAAGGTGTTCACTTTCACGGAGTTTCCGTTAATGACACATGCCCGTATGCTTTGTGTACAACGCGACAGGATGTGTCCGCAAACCGCCGATCGTTGTTCTACGACTGGACGACAAGAGGCCTGTACATTAGGGGCGCAAGAGGAATCATGACGTGAAAGTGCGCTACGCCAAGAATGGGCGCTTTTCTAGCGAGGTGAGCGAGTTGACAGGTGGGGTGTGTAGGTTGATCGTCGTTGTTTATGTAACGCAATTTTGGTGGCCGTCGTTTTTTGTCCATGTCGTAACCACAGACATCCGCCGTGTTGTGTGCGCAGTTGTTCACTGAGTTCGTCGACGAGTTAAACGGGGAGTTGCATGCGAAGAACGAGATGGCGGTGGTGCTGGTGCACAACCATTCGCACACCCTCAACGGGTGTGTGAAACGGACAAGCACAGTGGAGGGGTTTGTCGTGGAGGAGTTAACACGGGTGAAGGTTGTGCAGACATTTGGCGTCATGCCGGCTGCTGCGTTTTTTGCGATGAATGGTGTGGTGGACACATTGAAGGCAGTTTTCCGGACGTGGTTTATGCGAACGGCAGTCACGAGCAAGGAGTGGACCCGTGCGGGCATTTTTCCACGACCGCCGCTGCACGATGTGCTGTTCATGGCGTGCAAGTTGACGATGCCGGGGACAATCCAGAGGAGTTGGTGGCGGGCCGGTAGCGTGCCGAAGGGCTGGCTGTCCCGGATGGACAGCTTGAAAGGGAAAGCCGCGGCAGAGATGTTTGACGGTCTGGTGCTGCAGCTGACGAGTCTGCAGCTGGTGATTGAAGAGTTCAAAGGCAAGTGCAGCAGCACGGCGTTTATGACGGTGTGGGATTTCGTGGGGTGTGACGAAGGCCTTATTGAGAAGTGGACGCCAGCGAGAGGTTTGGAGGACGAGTCCGAGGATGAGATTCCGGCATATTTTTGCATACCGGAGGGGCCGCTAATGCGAGACAGCCGTAGGTGTCGCCGCGTGAGCCGCATGGTCCATGATGGTTACGTGAAGCAAGTGGAGGCATTGGGTATTCCACCGCGCGACGTGCCTGAGGAGGCCGGAGTGGTGAATGAGGAGGTGGTGAGCCGCCTTCGACGCACACCCACTAAGCGCAACCGGACGGGCCGCTCTAGTGATGAAGGGATCACGTCTGACGCGTCGGATGAGGCAGGCCAATCCCGGAAGGCGGGGGTGCTGTTCCCAGTGGAGGATGACAAAGAGAGCGTCGTACGCTTCGTATAGGGCTACAGGGATGGGCCGCTTTCTCATTGTGGTATGGGGGGGCTGAACATAGGGAGCACGATGCGACGGTGGCGTCACAATGTTTCAGCTAATGTGTGTGTACGGATTGAGAGAGCTGAGAATTGGGCGACATTATTTCCATCTGTTGTGGTTGCTACTCAATAACGAATGCACATCTGTTTCACGTATGTTGCTTTGTCGGTTAGTGTTTAGTAGTTAGCTGATAGGCAGCACACCCTAAGGGGATCGCTCTTGCGGCATTGTACAAAAGCATAACGCAAACACAAGCGAGTGTTCCTTGTATGCGGTGCAAAGGTGCGCTTTTTCGTCGAACCGCGTCAGCAAATGTGCGGGATCACCCGAGCCGCTCCTGAATTTCGACGTTCCGAAGCGCAAACCGCCTGGCATCGGGCTGCCTTTCTGTGTGTGCGGGACTTAGTGGCATTGTGGGTGAGATGCCATTTCGGGTTGTTGTTTTGCGGATACTTTACTGCAGCTTTTGTGCAACTTTCCTGCAACTCTCAGACTTTAACTCGGAAATTGGCCAAACCCTTTTTCGCGATGCCGCAGCCTCGCCGCGGCAGGCTTCTGCGGCTAGCACAGCAGCTCTCAAGGCGATCTTCACGGCCGCGCTGCTGCCTATCCCTACGAAGGAACCCAACGCTTGCGCGTGGCCTGGTGTGTCATCCGCCGCAAACGGCGCGGTTGTCGAACTAAACCTCACGCCGAGCACCGTCAGCCTTGACTTGCTCCCACCCACGCCTAGCCTTTGCAATCGTACAGCGCGCGACCCCGGAGGACAGTTCCCTGCGATCCTCTCCGAATCTATCGGCCGGTTAACGGAACTTGAGGATCTGTATATGTTTAACCTTTGGCTTGCCGGCTCGGTCTCACGATCCCTTTCCCGGCTAACGAAACTCGAGACTCTCGACCTTGACAATAATTGTTTCGCTGGTCCTCTTCCCGTTGCCTTTTTTCGCCTGCCAAAAATTCAAGTCCTGATCGCAAGGCATAATTTCTTCTCCGGGCAGTTACCGCAACGTGCTGCTGCGTACGCCGGATGGGGCTCACTGGAGATTCTGGATCTCGGAAAAAATTGGCTGTCTGGGCAGGTTCCTACTGCTCTCGCAACTCTACCGAAACTTGCGGGGTTGTCTTTGAACACGAACGCGCTATCTGGGTTCATTCCACCTGCCCTGCTGGAAAGGGATTGGTGGATGCTTACCTTGTATCGGAACAAGCTTTCCGGTGACCTGAGCGGGTTGCAAATAAAAGCCCAAATGATGATTAACTTAAGCCAGAACCGGCTGGCCGGGAACTTCAACACGATTCAGTTCAGCGAGTCCCTAGGATTTATCGACGTATCAGAGAATTCGTTCTCGGGCTCCTTTCCGCAGATCTTGTGCCGTCCAAACAGCCCTACAATAGCTGATTTTTCGCGCAATCGCCTGACCGGAGCCGTTCCAGGGAACTGTTTCAAGCCCAAGAATTCTCTGGAAGAACTCTATTTAAGCCACAACAATTTCTCGGGCAGGTTGCAGCCGTTTTCAAACCTGCCCAAGGGAATCATTCATGTGGACCTGGGATTCAACAAGTTTACAGGGGGTATTCCCCAGGGTCTCACCACTTTACCCCAGCTAAGCTACTTGGACCTCGGAACAAACGCTCTCACAGGTAACTAGCAGGGAATCCACCTGTAAGTAGTCTACCGTTTCGAGGAGGACTAGTTACACCACACACTCCTCACTTGTGTCTGCTTTGTTCCATGTACTTTCCTCCCATCCCTTGCCCCTATTGTTCTAGCAAAGTCAGCATGCCCTTTACATTCCTTCACGCTTGTAACATAACCTTCCCACTCTTTCTTCATGCTTTCCCGCCCTCCTCTCCCTGCTCCACACCGTATTTCTCCTCTGTAGGTCCCATCCCTGCCTCGTGCCAGGCCCGTCAAGCCCCGATTTCCCCAACCATAAAACTGATTTTTCAGGATTCTCATTCCCACTCCCCTGTCTCTCTCTCAATATTCATCCCCCATCCCACAGGTTCCAATCCTCAATGCATCTTATAACGACTCTGTTTCTTCCTCCCCTTGTCTCTTCTCTCCTTGTTGATCCCCCCACCCCACAGGTCCCATCCCCGCCTTCTGCCAGGGCAAGCAGGCCCTCACCTTCCTCAGCCTCGCCTCCAACGCCCTCTCCGGCCCGCCCACCCCACTCTCCTCCCCCTCCTGCTCCGCCTCCCTCGCCCATCTTTACCTCTCCTTCAACAGCCTCTCCGGCCCCATCCCCGCTACAATCAGCTCCTTTACTCGCCTCAAGGGCCTCGGCCTTAATAGAAACAACCTCACGGGGCCGATCCCAGCAGGTGTGAGCAATATGAAGCAGCTGCGAGGACTAGGGTTGGCATCTAACAAACTGACGGGTTCCATTCCCGCAGCTTGGCCGGCAAAGGTACGGCAAGTGCTGCTGGCAGGGAACCGGCTGTCAGGGGCTGTTCCGGCTTCTCTGAGCAAGCTGAATCGAGGCTCTTTCAAACCAGGGAACCCCAACTTGTGTGGGAAACCGCTGCCTGCTTGTGCTTAGGAATTAAGAGCATCTTGCTTGTGCTTATTGATTATGCAATCAGCAACCAACCCTGGTGACATAAAGAAAGAGTGGCAGCAGCAGTGGCTGCTACAATCTTCTATGTTCGTACATCTAGTGTACCATCTCCTCCCATATGCGGTACACTCCAGAAAATTACAACCTCAACAGTTGAACGTACTGGCAAGTAGAAACAAGAACATGGTACTGGTAAGTAGAAAAAGAAGAAAACTAATCCGATAACTGTGTGGTCATATCAAGGCAATTGAATGTTTCAAAGCTGCCCAATCATATCCTGAAGCAGCAACAGGGTCACCACTCGCCCCAGCAGCTCCCACCCCATCTGCCTCTGCCTCCGCTTGTGCACCTGTTAGCGTTGCTGCACCGGATATCTTTGCCCCTGCCACTGATGCTGCTGCTTTTCCCAACAATGCAGTACTTGCAGCCTGCTCCAAGTGAGCTATCGCACTCATCTCCTCACCAGTACCAGCACCACCAGCACCACTACCAAAAGCAGCACCAGATACCACCTCTCCTCCGTTTTCCACTATTTCTGCATCGTCCCCTTCCCCTCTAACCCCTCTAACCCCATTAATCTCCCACTCTCTCTCATCCGGACCTGGCCCACCCGAACCTCCATCCGGACCGAACGCCCAGCCCGGACCTGCGCCGAACCTCCTCGCAGCCTCGAGTGGCGGTTCCAGGTTCGGGAGAACGCCGGAGCTGGCAGCTAGGGACGGCATGGTGCCCACAGCACAGGGCACCCAGTTAGCCGCAACCCTCCACCTCTTTCTGGGAAGGTTCCTTTCAACAAGATTCCTCCCTTTCTTGCCAGCCGCTCTTGTTCCGCCTCCCCATTTCCTCTTCCCCCTCCCCCCTTTTACTACCTCCCTTTTTCCAATCTCCCCTCTCCCGTTCTCCTTATTTCTTGTCCCCACAACCACAACCCCTCTCTTCACCACAACTCCTCCATGCCCCGTGCCACTACTCGCCCGAACCACTTGCTCGATTGTACTCAGTTCCCTCTCCATCTCCCTAAGAAGCTTCTCAGTTCCTTCCTCGAAATCTGTCCCTTCCACCTCCTCCACTTCTGCCTCCTCCTCCTCGCACCCCCATATCCCCACTCCTTCACGTCCTCCTCCCGCTTCCCCATTTGTCCCCCTCTCTCCTCCCTCTCCCTCCCCTGCCCCTGCCCCTGCTCCCACTCCCTTTCCCCCACGCCTTCGCTTCCCCCGCCCACCTCCCTGCTTCGCCGCCACTTCCCCTGCCCGTTTTGCACTATGAAGCCCTGCTTTTCCAGCCGTCTCAAACCCCTCTTTTGCACGCCAAGTCCCTCCATTGAGCCCCAAGCCCTGCTCACTCATACTCACGTCACCCATGAACCCCCCTCCACACCACACTTCCAGTGCATTGTCAGCGAGCAAATCCCCCTCTAACGCACCGCTCGCCATAAGCACGTCACCGCTCGTCACCAGAATCTCTCTCAACCGTTGCGAATGACCCAACCAGGAAACAGGAAATGCACCCGCTGCTGCTACCCCACCACCGCCACATGTAACCACACCAGGCGCGATAGTAGGGTTACCAGCAGAGCCAGCAGCAGGACCTGCTGCCCCTCTCTCCTCCCACCACTCCACCAACCCGTGCCTCACTAGCTGCTGAATGCGCCAGCTCATCTCCGCCCCCCTCCCTTTGCTCCTTTTCGTCCCCTCCCCCCCTCCTTTACTCTTGCCTCCACCAGATCTACCTCCCTGAGACCCATCTCCTCCACATCCACCCTTCCCCTTCCGCTCATCCCCCTCCTCTTCTTCCTTCTGGATCATCCGGTCAGCGAGTGCAAGTGCCACGTCAGCAAGCACATGTGGCAAGCGGGGACAGGAGGGGAGGGCGTGCAGGCAGCGCGTGGCGCAGCGGGCGAGGAGAGGCAGAGGGAACCACTTGCCGTGCGATGGGGACGAGTCGTGTGATGAGGTCCTGTGTGTTGGTGGGTCTGTGCCACCCAGATCGAAATCGATATCGTCCTCTTCCTCCCCCCAGTCTTCCTCTTCTTCGAGCTCCTCATCTTCGTCGCCTTCTTCCTCTTCCTCTTGTTCCTCCTCCTCCTCCTCTTCATCCTCCTCTTCCCCTTTCTCCTCCTCTTCAGCCTCTTCTTCTGTCTCCCCACCTGATCCGTCCTCCATCCTATCCCCATAAAATTGTCCTTTCTTCTCCCCTTCCCCTTCCACGTCCCCTTCCTCCTCCTCCTCCTCCTCTTCCTCCCCCTCTTCCTTCTCCTCCTCCTCCTTCCCTCCCGGCCCTCCGCACTGTCTCCCCACCACCACTTTTTGCACTGCCTTTATCATCCCTCCTCTCTCTCCATCCCCCTTCTCCTCCCCCTCTTCCTCCTCCAACTCCCCTTCCATAAGCAACCACTCCAAACACTGCATAATCTCCCTCCACTCCTCCTCATCCCTCCATCCCCCTTCCCCTCTCACCCCCTCCCTATCCTCTCCCCCACCACCCATCCCCTCACACATCCTCTCACCACCCGTCCACACCTCATTCCCCTCACCACCCACCCCCCTGCTCCCGCCCCTCACAACCACCGCTATAAGCTCATTCACTATATGCGACAGTAATGCAGCTGGTAACCCTCTTATATGATCCAACACCTCCCAAACCGCCTCTTCTAACCCTTCCAATTCTTCCCCTCTTTCCCCTCCCCCTCCTCCCCCCGTTTGTGCCCCACTTTCCTCACCCACACCGCCGAAACCACCCTTATCCGCGCTATAAGCAGCATTCACGACTCTCCTAAGCTGCCTCAGCAGCAGAGCAGCGAAATCGCCCATGGACCGCTCTGCACACCTCCGTAACTCTCTCAACTGCGCGTTCCTCTGCCTGGCCGGGTGCTGCATGTGCTTCCCCACCATAATCGAATCATCAGGCTCAGACGCTGCTGCGAACGCCAACGTCGCAGCAGCAGAGTCAGCAGCAGCAGAATTAGCAGCAGCAGCAGCGGCGGTGGCAGAATCAGCAGCAGCACCAGCATCACCACCACCAGCAGCAGCAGCAGCAGCATCACCGGCAGCAGCAGGTTTGGGGCTGGCAGGAAAGCTGCGCTTAGCATTAGCATTGGCATTAGCGCGGGCAGCAGCAGTGTTGGTGGTGGCAGTGAGTCGCCTGAAGGAGGAGAACTTGCCCTCCGCATCCTCGCTGCTTGCCGCCAGCATGCCCGCCTGTCTGCTCCAGTAGTTGCTCACCAGCCAACCAAGAGCCTGGGGTGAGAAGAAGGGGGAAGGGGAAGGGGCAGAATGAGAATGAGAGCGTGGGCAGCAGAGCGGGCAGTGGTGGTGGTAACAGACAATGAGTCGTCTGAAGGAGGAGAACTTGCCCTCCGCATCCTCGCTGCTTGCCGCCAGCATGGCCGCCTGTCTGCTCCAGTAGTTGCTCACCAGCCAACCAAGAGCCTGGGGTGAGAAGAAGGGGGAAGGGGAAGGGGCAGAATGAGAATGAGAGCGTGGGCAGCAGAGCGGGCAGTGGTGGTGGTAACAGACAATGAGTTGTCTGAAGGAGGAGAACTTGCCCTCCGCATCCTCGCTGCTCGCCGCCAGAATAGCAGCCTGCCTGCTCCAATAGTTGCTCACGAGCCACCCCAGGGCCTGGGGTAAAGAGAGGAGAGAAGGGGAGGTAAGGGGAAAGAGAGGAATGAGAGAGAGAGTGTGTGTGTTGCTCCTCCCTCTGCATCCTCGCTGCCTGCTGCTAGCATGGCCGCCTGCCTACTCCAGTAGTTGCTCACTAGCCAGCCCAGCGCCTGGGGTGGAATGGAGAACAAGGGAAGAGGGTAGGGAGAAGGGTAGAATGATAAAGATAGGTGTGCTAAGTGCTCGTTGCCTGCTGCTAGCATGGCCGCCTGCCTGCTCCAGTAGTTGCTCACTAGCCAGCCTATGACCTGTGTGGAGATGTGAGAATGGACCAAGGAAAGCGGGGGAAGGTAAGAGGAACAGAGCAGCTTCATCTGTCCCTTCCGTCCTTTAAGACGTCTCAAAAGTCGTCTCCAAGAACCATATGCTTTAAGACGTCTCAAAAGTCGTTTCCAAGAACCATATGCTCTGAGAAGTCTCAAAACACGTCCTTTAAGACATCTCAAAAATCGTCTTTGAGAACCAAATGCACCCTCCCTCCCAACTGAGTGACAGCCAGTCGCAGCACCAGCAGCTGCAGCAGGAAAACGCCCCTTTTTTTTCCTCCCCTCCCTATCTCCCTCTCTCCCTGTCCTCCCTCCCACTCCTCCTGCTTCCCACCCTTCCTCCTGCATCCCACCCTTCCTCCTGCACTGACTCTCTTACTTCCTCTCTCACATCTCAACCACTCGCCACAAATCCCCCCCCTTCTCCTTCTCACCTGAGTGACTGCAAGTCGCAGCACTGGCAACTGCAGCAGGCGATTGTGGGCCAGGGCTGGGGAGGGGAAGGAGAAAGGGGAGGGGAAGGGGGAGCGGAAGGGGGAGCGGAAGGGTAATGAGAAGGGGAATGGGGACGGGAATTGGAAGGAAAGGAAGCAGGTGCACGGGGAGATTCAATACTGACGGTGGCAACCAGTGTCAAAGTGACTGTTCAAATCAAACTGTGTCGGAATGGACTCCATTCCACTGTAGTAACTGCAAGGCAAGGCTGGTGGGTGGACCACAGTTGCCACGGTGTAGCAGAGCGGAGTGTTGCGCTGCTGAGACCACCAGCCTTACAGTGCAGTGCCTGGCGTCTAGCAGCAGTACTTTATGTCGAATCAGAAGAAGTCTTATTCATTACACCGGAAAAAAACAAATCATGAAATCAACCACTGATACTATGCCAGCCTTACAGTGCCTGACTGACGCCTACCAGCCGTACTTGAAGCCGACCAAAAGAAGTCTGACTCATACCACTGAAATTTTCATCACCCACATATACTGTGCCAGCCTTACAATGCCGCACGTCCACCAGCAGTCGCGGAATTCCCACGTGTGCCGCCACCCTTACCACTGACCGACCCAGGGCTGGATTGCGGTTGTCACACAGACCACTCACAAACCTACACGTGGCAGGGCATGAAAGAAGTGTGGGAAGTACAAAAAAACAAGTTACTAAGAAAAAAAACGAAGGAAAGATGACTCACGACCCCTCATGACCCCTCATGAGCACTCATGACCCCTCATGAGCACTCATGACCCCTCATGAGCACTCATGACCCCTCCTGACCACTCATGACAGCTCATGACCACACATATTCACTCATAGATCCTCCTGAATACAACCCTACATGTGGCAGGAATCAGGTTGCTGCACAGAAACGCTCGGCACTCACATCACATGCAAATGGTACAAGACATGCGAATACACATGCTGTGCCAGTGTGTACGCAGTGTGTGGTTTGCTATGGCTGGCCGACTGACTGACTGACTGACTGACTGACTGACTGACTGACTGACAGGCTGGCTGACTGACGGACTGGCTGAGGACTGACTGACTGACTGACGGACTGACTGATGGACTGGCTGACTGACAGGCTGGCTGACTGACGGACTGGCTGAGGACTGACTGACGGACTGACTGGCTGGCTGACGGACTGACTGGCTGATTGACTGACTGACTGACGGACTGAATGGCTGACTGACGGACTGACTGGCTGACTGACAGACTGACTCACTGGCTGACTGACGGACTGGCTGGCTAGCTGACCGACCGGCTGACCTGATGACCACGGCAAACGGCACCGCGTGACATGGCATGATGGCACAGCGTGTGTTGGACTAAGCCTAGGGATGACTGACTGACCTGATAATGACAGCAGCATATGATTGGCGGAGCACGAATGGAGGGAGCGGAGGCACCGCGTTGGGGGGCCTGAAACAGGAAGGAGTGAATGGGATGAATGTGGGAACCCATCCGTGCCATGTGGAAGGGAGGGAGGGAGGGATCTAGAGATAGATTCTAAACCCAACCCAAGCCCATGTGGGGCGGCCTGAAAGGGGGGGATGGACGGGACACGATGAATGTCGGAACCCATCCATGCCATGTGAATGTGAAAGTGGAAGGCAGGAATCTAGAGATGGGTTCTAGACCCGAAACCCATGTGGGGTGCTACGGCAGTGGGAGTGGGGGAGGGAGGGAGGGAGGGAGGGAGGGAGGGAGGGAGGGAGGGAGGGAGGGAGGGAGGGAGGGAGGGAGGGAGGGAGGGAGGGAGGGAGGGAAGGAGGGAGGGAGGGAGGGAGAGGGAGAGGAGAGAGTGGGGCCACCCGGAAAGCCAGAATGCCAGCATATTGTTCTCTGGTGTGTATCCCAAAAAATTTCTCCGCTCAATGCCCTTCCCAACCGCTCTAGAACGCAAAGCACCTCACTCAGCCCCAATCAAATGAACTATCTGGACACGTCCTGAGCGTAGCCCCTCCGACAGCACCCATTCCAGACCTACGTCACCCGAACGTACAGCTCCGGACCTGCACCCCCGAACCTACATCCTGAACTTGCATCCCTGAGCCTACCAGAGGTCCGGGTCCTGCAGCTTCACGGCAAGCATGCCAGCTGTCACGTCCACAGAGGCCGGAACCCGGCCCCTGATCTGCCATGCTGCCACCTGGCAGGCCGAAGGGTGGACCGAATCCCACGAAGGGTGTGGAGGGGGGGGGGGGGGGGGGGGGGGGGGGGGGGGGGGGGGGGAAGGTGGGGAGGGGAGGAGGAAGGAACAGAAATCGAGATCTCGTCATTTGAGTCGTCTTTCAGAAGTGGGGGCAATCCCAAGGGTTCGGTGCAGCGGAAGGAGGGGTTCAGGGTTTAGCTGCTTGAGATTTATCAAACCTGACAGACATAAAAGAGGAGATAACCGCAAGGGTGGGGTGTAGGGAGGGAACGGGGTTTGGGGTTTAGTTCTTGAGAAGTCTCAGCACGCATTCCCTCCCCGCGTCCTATTTTTTTCCTGGACGGTTAATGCTATAACGGGCGCCTTACAAGATTGCGAGTAGCGGCAACGACCCAAGCTTACAGAATGCGATAACGGATCGCGGGTCTGCTATCGCGTGTGATATTGATAGCGGATCGAAAGGATATGGGCTCGCGAGTAGACCTCACCGCCTCTCACTCCTTGCAGGACGCCCACGAGACGCGATAACGAGTAATGCTACTACGGGGGAGGATATTAGCGGAATAACGGTACACCTACCCGGTCGATCCCGAAAGATATCGATTCGCGCGTAGCGGCGGGGCCCAGCAGGCTCGACCTCACCGCCTCCCACTCCTCCCACGAGGCCCATGGCACGTGGCGCAGCGCTAGAGACATACGCTAACCTGCAACGGATGCTGCTTTAAAGGATGCCGTGAGATCCGGGGATGAGATTTCTAACCTTCTTCTAGTGATGGTCTAGCACAAAACAATTAGAGTTTAATCATGGTGTTTCTTCATGGCAGTTCGACTCGATTGCTCTAATTCCCCTGTGCTACACCCAGTGTTCCCTGAGATGAAGGACTGGACTTAGCAAGCGGGTAAGAAATTAAGAATAACGACGTGCCACTGTCGAGCGAGAGAATCAGGGTCCAGAAAATGTGGCGGCGGCCCAGCGGGATATGGCAAGGGTGACAGCAACATCGCGTTGCCCCTGGGCCAAGGGTTTGGAATGGAAGTTGGAAACAACACCATGGACGGAGGACGGCATGTGCAGGTGTAAGAAGACGCGCACGGTTTAATCAGTGTTTAGGAAGGTGAGGAACGTTGCAAGTGCTTTTCGGTATCTAATAAACATTGCAAAAACACACATCATCCCGCTTGGTTGTTGGTTAGTCATATAAATTAGATTCTTCAGCTACACATTTAGCAGGAATCTCAAGCAGAGTAGATTTGAACTCAACAGCACAAGGCTGCACACAGAAGGGGAAGAAACTGAATTTTACCTCTATAAAGAAAGACTCAATATATTCACAGCATAGGTACCATACTCCCTTAACAACAGATCCAGGTGGCTTAGGAAGCCTTGAATGGAAAATAACACAAGGAAAGAAAAGAAGGTACTGTACACTAGCTTTCCATGCAGTAAAATCATAACCGCACGGAGGTGCTTCCCATCGTAATCAAACCTAATACCCACTCCAAGAGGGGCCATCATCCATAGACACCCGAATAAAAAGGACTAGAGTGCCGCTGAGCACAATGAAGGCCGCAAGTGTGAAGAGAGTGGCTCCAAGAGTTATGAGATGACCGTGGTGGAGGATGAAGGGGATTGCAACACTGCCAATCTGAGGGGGTGTTAAGGGGTGGTGGTGTAGGGAAGTGAAGAGGCAAGCGGCAACACTGCCAATGTGAAGGGGGTTGAGGTTTGGAGGTTGGGTGAAAGAGGTAGCAAGAGGCAAAAGCATCTAACATGGCCTGAGGTGACTTTTGAGTCGACTCAAAAGTCACCTCGAAAGAGGTAGCAAGAGGCAAAAGCATCTAACATGGCCTGAGAATCATGAGGTGAGGAACCTGGCTGCTTGCATGTCCAGCGGTCAGTGGGCAACAGAAGCAAGGGGGTCGGGGGCAACAAGGGGGGAGGGGGCGGAAAGGGCGAACTTACCGAAGAAAAGCCAGTGAGGAACTTGGCTGCATCTTGCCATCTGGTGGAGAGAGAAAAGGGGTACAGGAGAGAGATGGAGTACGGTCAACAGGGGTGACGTAGAGGGATTGGGAGGAAGGAAGAGGAAGAAGGGTGAATCGTGGTAGCAGAGGTGAGAGAGATAAAGGGAGAGATGGAATGACGAATTGCCCAGTATCTACGCGCACACACCACAATCACTTGCATCACACACACTACAGCCCCACTCAGTACAATCACACTCGTTACAGTACCACTCACTCGTTATCCGTGCCCATGAGAAAGAAGTCGGAGGAGTCACCAGTAGAAAAGAACAGGCATGGCATGGGCAGTATCAGGTACATGAGCGCTGGGGGGGTGTAGAGGGGTAGAGAGGAGTGGAGAGGGGTGTTGAGGGTTTGTGGCAAGGCATTAGAGGCATGGCATGGGCAGAATCAGGTACATGAGAGCTGATGATGCATGGGGGAATGGTGGGGGAGGAAAGCTATGAAGGAAGCGGAGAGGAAGAAATGGAGGGCTCAGAAAGGGGAGTGAGGGTGCGTTTTTGGCCTGGAAAGAGGCATGGCATGGGCAGTATCAGATACACCAGAGCTGGGAGAAGAGATGTATGGGCAAGGGGTGGGGGGGTGGGGGGAGAGGGGGGTTGGGGGGTTCAATACAGAAGAAGCAGTGGCAGTCAGGCACATCCGAGCTGGGAGGGAAGTCGTACGGTGGGGGAGTGGGGGGAAGAGGAGGCGGCTCAGAGAATACTTTTGAGGCGCCTCAAATTCCACCTCAGAAGAGGCAAGCAGTGGCAGTCAGGCACATCCGAGCTGGGAGGGAAGTTGTACTGTGGGGGAGATGGGGGAAGAGACGGTGGGGAGAAGACTTGGCATTGACCTAAAAAGCGGCACCGAATTGGCAGTATCAGGAACGGGGGTGTACAGGCACGGCATGGCATACGACTCAAGAGGGGTGTAATGTCAGGTCCTATGTCATGTATCAGAGACATGCGATGCGAGCATTGTACCCGAAATCATTGGCAGTAGTATCAGGTACATGCGAGCGGGCATATATGTTGGTTGGGTAGGGGGATGATTTTTTAGGCGCCTGTATTGCGGTTTGAGGCAAAAGAGGGATGGCATGGCATGGCATGGCATGGCATGGCATGGCATGGCATGGCATGTGTGGTGGCAAGATGCTGGGCCGGGGATGGTGGGGCAAGGAGAGGGGAACATGAAGGAGGGGCGGTAAGGGAGAAAATCAGTGATTGGGCATTGTACCTGAGAGCATTGGCCACCAGTTGTTGTAGAGAACACATCCCAGCAGCTGCAAGCCGATGCCCACTGAGAAGAGAAACGCCAAACCTGCGAGTCTGAGGAGAGTGAGTGGAGGGAAAAGAGCGAGGAGAGAGTGGAGAGAAAAGAGTGAGGAGAGATTGGAGAGAGAAGAGTGAGGAGAGATTGGAGAGAGAGGACTATGCAGCTGTAGAAAGAGAAGAAAAAAGCATATCAGAAGCAGAAACAGGCGGAGAAGGGGAACAGCAAGAAAGCAAGCGCGCCCAGAGCCGGGCGTTATCAGTTCTTGTGTGAAGCGATGCAAGTGGACAGCACAGGAGAGAACCGCGTAGAGGAGTTGAATTGAGGCTTGTAGGAGAGCAGAGGACGGCGGAAATTGAGATGGAAGAGATACGAGAACGAGAAGGAGACAGGACGTCGGGGTTTGTACGAAGAGGACGAAGACGAAAGAGGCAAGAGGGGGACAGCGGAGCAGGAAAGCAAGTGAAGGGTGATGGAACAGAACTCACGCTGAGAAGAGACCGGGAGGTGGCGAAAGCAGGTGGGAACGCGTGGAGGTAGTCATAACGCGTGGAGGGGAGTGGGGGAGGAGCGAAGGCAGCGGGAGCAAAGAAGGAGAAGGAGCGACAGGACAGAGGGACAGAAGGAGGGTGCAAGGACACGCACAGACGCAGCAGGGGGATAAAAAGGGATTGATGAAGTAGACGGATAGTGATGAGGTAGACAGGTGGCATGGGTATGTTGAGCGAGGGAGGGGAGGGAGAGGTGGAATGGGTACGAGCGAGGGAAGGGTATGGTGGGCTGAAATGGGGAGGGACTGATACGAGTAAAGGGATTGGTGGAGAAAACGGAATGTGATGAGGAAGTCTGGTGGCATGGGTACGGGCGAGGGAGGGGAGGGCGAGGCGCCTAACAAAAAAACGGGATGGACGATGGTGGGGTGGACAGATGGGTAGGTAGACAGGTGGGATGGGTATGAGCGAGGGACGGGAGGGAGGCAATGGTGTTTCTGAGGCGCCTTAAAGAAACCGGATGAATGATGGTGGGGTGGATAGGTGTGCAGGCAGACAGAAACGTGGCGTGGGTATGAGCGAGGGAGGGCGATGGTGGGCTGAAAGGGAGGGATTGATGCGAGTAAATATTTTTTGAAGGGGACGGATGGCCACAAGGTGGATAGGTGGCATGGGTATGAGCGAAGGAAGCGAGGAAGGGGTATGGTGGTGGGTTGGTAAACAATGATGCAGGGGAGCAAATGGATTGTTGAAGGAGAGAACAGATTTCCGAAAATTTTCAAAAAAATCGCTCCCTGGCTGGAGTGTTGAATGGAGTGTTGGCTGGTGGTGGAAATTTTCATGGTAACTGGTTAGTCGAGACAGCCTTACCGCCCGTCGTCACGGCCATATTGGCGCGCTTATAGCGACTCTCGCAGTGGGGTTGACGGCAAACTGAAACGTCTATGTCGACTTAACGGATTGCGGTAAGCTGAACTTTCCACGTCCAGGCGAAAGGAGGAAAGGCACCAAACAATTCCTAGAAAAGTAAACTGAAATTATCTTTTGATAAGTTGGGTACTATAATGACGAGACGAGGAACGGCTGCCGTCTGAGTCGACTCGAAAGGTACGAGGAGTTAACCTAATCACTCGACTCCACCTATTCAGTCGGAACAAACCAGGAAATTACAGGGCTATCACACGGAATACGCGGAACGGATATCGCGAAAGAACGTATTTCACGAGGTAGCTACGGCACGTATTGTAGTCGCTGAATTCCTGACACCAATGGCTGCTCCTGCTACTACTCCTGCTACTACTCCTGCTGAGTCTTCATTGCTATTTGAGCTACTGCTGCAGTTGCAAGAAGCTGGTTTCAGCAGCAATTTCGTTCTTTCAACTCGTCGTCGCTCTCGCACACCTGCCAGCACGCAAAAACGGCGCGACGAAGTTTCGCGAAACAATTACATCTGCCCCCCTCATTGAACTGTTACGAAGGACAAAGGAAACAATAGAGAGAAAATATGGTTCCGAATATTGGTTTATATACTAGACATACCATTTACAGTAACACTTCAATTATGTCACTAAAAAAAATAACACAGCATGGAGCAAACATCTTAACAACTAAAACCCCTTCCGCGAGGCAACTCTAAGAAAAAACTGCTCTGACCCTCTTACTGTTGTTTACACTCAGGGGGTTGCTCGCCTGCTGCTCCAGCTGCTCCTGCTGCCTTCATCCCCTTCGTCCCTGCTTTCTGCCACAATGGTCAGACACAATAACGCGACATAAGAAACGTCACAACCAAACAAAAAGATGGCAAAAACAGAAACGGCACAGGGATGTGTGCAATGTAACAACCTGAAAAAGTAGATGGATATTATGGTATCCGGAATGAGGCTCTACAGATGGTTGCTCATGAAATTCACAACCCAAAACGCACCCTTCCGCGAGCAGGCCTCGGGTGGTCGTCCTCGTCATCATCATCCTCATCCTCATCATCGTCCTCGTCGTCCTCATCATCCTCATCATCCTCGTCATCGTCCAAATCCTCCAGGTCAGCAGCCTCCCCGGTGTACCAGGAGACAGCATGTGGAATGATCTTCTCCCTCAGGGTAGACCTGGTGGAAAGGAATCATAAGACATAAGAAAGTGAGTATGAGTGAGTGAGTTAGTGAGTGTGAGAGTGAGATGAGAGTGAGTGGTTGAGGGAGTGAGTGAGTGAGAGTGACCGAGTGTGAGAGTGAATGAGTGGGTGAGTGAGAGTGAGTGGGTGAGTGAATGAGAGTGAGTGTGAGAGTGAGTGTGAGAGTGATGCAGTGAGTCAATGAGTGTGTGTGTGTGTGTGTGTGTGTGAGAGAGAGAGAGAGAGAGAGAGAGAGAGAGAGAGAAGCAAAGAACTCACCCCACATCGTAGTCCTGCTCCATCATCTCCTGCAGCTCCTCCGCCTGCCATTGATGAAGCGAGGGGAGGCAGCAAGAGAGAGACAGCCAATGAGACACGATAAGAGAGGGAGACTAGGCGGGCACACCCCACGATAAGGGGGGAGAGCGGGGGGAGGAGTGGAGAGGAGAGGGTGAGAATAAGAGAAACAAGGTGGTGCCGGGGGTGCAGAGCACGGTGGGGTGCAGCGGAAGGAAAGGTGAAGGGCTGCGGAAGAAATGTGGTAAGGGGGACGGGAGGGGGGAGAGGGGAGAGGGTAGCAGGGAGAGGGGCGAGGGGCGAGGGGAGAGAGAAAGGAAGGGGGGCCCTGTGTGTGGCTCACCTCCTCTTCGTCCAGCTCCTCGTCCTCGGTGGGCACGGCTGGCGGGCTGAAGAAGTTAAAGAAGCTCTCGCATGGCTCTGTCTTAGTGATGGGCTTGCTGCTCTTGGCGCCCTTCTTCGGCTTCTTCTTCATGATCTTCTGCGTCAGGTTCTTGCCCGCGTTCCACTCGATCTCCGTGCTGCGTTTTTATGAATGAGCAGCGGAGAGCAATGGACGGACAGTGGGTGTGAGAGAGGGGAAAAAGAAGAAAAAAACAAAGGGCACAGAGCAATGCAAACAGTTTGTTTAGGAAGGGATAAACTTGGCAACGCTCAGACCTTCTAAAGAGCCGACACATGCAACAAAAAAGGAAGGAAAGCAAAGCAACTCACCCCTCGGCCTTCTCAAGAATCGGCTCTTCCTCGTCGATCATGAAGTATGACTTGGTGAGCTGAAGGGGGTGGTGGGGTTGTGGGGATAGGGAGGGAGAGGGGGTGGAGTGGGAAGAAAAAAGGGAGTGAGCCTGGGAGGAGAAAGGAGAGGAGCAACGAAGTAGGACTTTATGAGCTGAAAGGGTGGTGGGGAACGGAGAGGGGGGGGAGTGGGGGAGGGGGGGAGGAGTGACAGAGGGGGGGGATGAAATTGGGGAAGGAAGCAGAGAGGCAAGGAACATGTTGGCTCCTCGTATTTGATCATAAAGTATGACTTAATGAGCTGAAGGTGTGTGAGGAGCGGGAGAGGGGGGGGAAGGGGGAGTGAGCCTGGGAAAAGCAAGGAGAGGGGCGACGAAGTATGACTTCGTAAACGGGTGGTGAGGAAGAGTGGGGGCAGGTGGGTGGGTGGCGGGAAGTGAGCCTGGGAGGAGTGGGTCAGAGAGTGAAGGTGGTGTGGTGGTGGAGGGGAGGGCAGTGTGAGGGCTAGAAAAAATGTGGGAGGCAATGAAAAAGACTGGCTCCTTTTAGTTAATGACAAAGTGACCTCGAAAGTAAAACGCCAGCCCAGCACGGCTGGGTGGCGAATGGTGGACGTACCACTTCATTCTTGAAGTAGGGGTTGGGCGTGAAATGGAACTCCAGCTTGAAGCCCTGGAATCGTAGAGCAAAGACAACAGCACAGGATTAACAGAGATAATATCCAACGAGAGGCGATAGAAATGGATATCCAATGCAACAAGTGGCACAAAGCCGGATAACGAGGCCGAGGTGTTACCGTAGTCCGTCACATATAAATAACCTCCTAACCTCATACAAGCCCCTCTAAATCCCAGTGGAATCGTCTAAAACCCTCCAGGCCTCTGGCACCCTAAACCCTCAAACCCGAACTCGTGTGTGTCAGTCATTACTCTCCGCACTAACCCTGAGCTCCTCCCCCACTTGAGACCATCTAGTATCTTCAATGTACCTGAGAGAACAGGCACGTCTTTCACTTGCTGCAGTCTAAGATTCCAGCAACTCAACCCGAAGCCCATGAACGAGCTGACCTTCATTACCACCCCGCCCTGACCTTGAGCTCCTCCCACAGTTGCGACCACCGGATGTCCTTGAGAGGTACTTGAGAGCACGCCCGCCTCTTGCCACCTATCGTCTAATCTGAGAGGTTCCAAACACTCAAACCCGAAACCCTTGTCTGACTTGACAGTTATTACCCCAGCGCACTGACCTTGAGCTCCTCCCCCAGTTGCGACCACCGGATGTCCTTAAGGTGCTTCAGTGCAGGCTCGTCCCTCGCTGTGATCTGACATCCCAAACAGACACGTGGACAGGCAAATGGGTGCCACATACAGATACTCAGTATATCACTACAGAAAAAGTATGTACTATGGCATGGAAAATCAAAACCCCAGTACCAAAACGGGTTGGAAAAGCGCGTATGGCAAGCATGGGAAGCTAGAAACATATGAAACTGATGCTGTAGTAATAATATTAGGAACAATAATAACAATAGAAGCAACCATGATTACCTGCCCTAGTTTGCAATGTTCTCCCCACGTTTGCATAACTAGGCCGCTCACCTGCTCTGCCAGGATCTCGTTATTCTTCATGGCAGTGAGCCAAAACTCAGGAACACCTGAACGCAACCGGGGAAGAACAGAGGGGCACACAGCACACAAACCAAACCAAGGAAACGGAGAAGAAGGGGGCCAACCTTGAAGGGCCTTCATGGCAGTGACCAAAACTTTGGGCACTTTTGAACGAGGCCAGCACGGGAAAGGAGGAGGGGAGCAGGGGAGGGGGGGGGGAATGATACTGGGTTTATTCATGTACGGATAACAAAACACATTGCTTTTCTTCACCCAGCACAGCACACACATCTTTCCAGACTAAGCTTCTCCACCCTCCTGCTCCATTTTCGGCAGCTAGAGCCACACCGCTCCAACCTCAGCCATTTCCAACCCAGTCCAATCCACAGCACCGAGCTCAGCCGCAACTCACCCTTCTCAACCTCGGCTCCGGCCTCAGCAGCGGGGGCCTCAGCGCCTTCCGGCTCCTTGTCTCCCGCCACAATCTCAGAGCGCTGGAGGTAACGAGGGTGAGAGGGGGGTTAAAGGATGTGAGAGGCTGAAGAGCGTGGAGGTTGAACAGGATTAGAGGGAGTTACGGAGGGTAAAAATTAACCGAAGGTCAGGGTTTACAGCGGGTGGGGCCCTACACAGAGGGTCAGGGTTTACCGAGGGGGTAATTGAGGGTCAGGATTTGCAGAGGGGTGAAAGATCCACAAGCGGAACGAGGTTCATGGCCGAATTTAATCCGCATTACAACGAGCAGAAGCCGCGGCCGTTTATCCCCACTTGGTTGTGAACCACCTTTTAAAGCACCTCAAAACGATACGCGTTATAGCGAGCAGCAGCACAACAATCTATCCTCACCTAGTTGTAGAGCGCTCGTACAGCTTCCGGTACTTGGCCTCCAAGGCCGCCTTCTAAGGAACGTCTAAACGATACGCGTCATAGAGTAGATCCTCACCTGATTATAGAGCGGCTCGTACAGCTTCTGGTACTTGGCCTCGAGAGCCGCCTTCTCCTCCAGAAACTTCTCCTTGAGCTCGTCGTGCGATTTCTGCTCCCAGCACAGGAACACAGGAGGGGAACCGGGGGGGGAGGGGACACGGAAGAAGGGCGGAGGGACGATGAAGGCGCATCCCGAGGGACTTAACATCACAGTTCCGCCTTCTCCTTGCGCTCGTCGAGCGATTTCTGCACCCACCACAGGAACGGAATGGGGGAAGTGTTGGGGGAGGAAGGTGGAGGGGAGGGGTGGGTGGACGGACGCTTTCACATCATTGCCCTCTCTTATCCTCGAGACACTGCTCCTTCTGCACGGAACAAAGAAGTGGTAGAGGAGATAGGGTTATGTGGGGTTCGAGGAGGAAAAAACCGCACACCATCACACGATCAACAGCGGTCTTCTCCTTTGAATCTTTCTCGTTGATCTCTTTAGTCTTGTCGTAAAAAGCGGCCTTTTGCTTACGCTTCGCCTTCACGCTTTGAAAGCCATAGTTACTCTGAGAGCACATAATCCTCCCTGCAAAACCTCACGCGATTGCTGCAGCGTCGGCGCGGATCCAAACCTAGCGCGTTCAGAGACGACCTATATATATATATATATATATATATATATATATATATATATATATATATATATATATATATATATATAATATTTTTTAAACGAGTTGCATGAGGCACCAGCATGATTCATGTTATTCCCAACATGTGACAAACAACGGTACGAGTAACGACAAACGAAGTAACGATCACTTCGGCCGCTAAGAGGATCCGCACCTGGATCTCCTGTAGAGCAGTGACACGTGTGCGGACAGCTGGCGAGAGGCCGGCGAGGAAGTTTTGCGTCATGAGGGTTTCCAGTTTGTCCTGCCACGGCAATCGAAGAAATTTAGACGAAAAACAAAGACATCACGTAGGTGAGCAGGGAACAAGATGATAAAGCAAAGAGGTAGCCGAAAGAAACAAACTATCAGATGGGTGAGATGCGATCACATCTTGCGTCATCAACAAGCATAAATAATCTTCTTGAGAACCATGCTTGAAAACCCTAAGGCTTGATTTCCAAAATCAAATTATATTCCTCACCATTCCTGAATCCTGCGCCAATGATCGTGTTGTGGTGGCCAGATCGCGTGTTTCTCATCCCGTTACTATGCTTCTAAATTTACTTCGTTTATTCAAACTCATTTCAAAATATCCTCATTCATTTTCAACAATTCTATAAGTTTTTTGGTACTTCATTCACCTGGATCGAGCTGACCAATTCGGCGCGAGCTTCGTCGGTTAACCCCGCTCCCCCTGAAACGATAGAAAGTAGACCGAAGAATTCGACGATTATGTCAAGACAACAACGAGGGCGAAATCATCATAAAAGTGACAAATCCACGCCACGGAACATGGGATGATATCATTTCGCGTTCGACGTATCATTTGTAGACTAGCCTAGATCGACGTCGGCACGACGTGTTACAAAAGCAACACCAAAACGCAGGAGGAGGGAAACAAATAACGGAAAATTACCTGAAGGAAGAGCAGCAGCGATATCTGACAGGTCCATCTTCTTCTCGTCTCCGCTCATGGTTCTAAACGAGTAAAAGACAAATAGATGTGCGAGGATCGTAGATTGCAAGGCAGACTACGTGAGATCAGGACTTGCGGACAGGTGAAGAATCCCGGATCGCTGATCCTGCTCGAGGAGAAGCTCAGAAAACAGCAGGACAGGGAAGAGAAAGAAGCACTGGACGATGGAAGAAGAAATATGAGTATGCGTTGCGCCAGAGTGTTGCCGACCTTTTAGTGCGGTTTGAAGGGTTTTCACACGGTATGAATGGCAACGGCTACACACCGTTTTGGACCGTAACGCAACAGACGAAACCGTGGTCCTATAACGCAAGCCACAGGTTTGTGATAGTTGAAGCGCGTATGCTTCAACTTCAAGTACTCGTATGGAAAAGTGTACTAACAACATTGTCTCTTTTACATTCTCAAGCATTGTAAATTTTTTTCCGACATTCCTTACTGCAAGCTTCAACATCGCGTACAGAAGCAACTGTTGTTCGCCCATTACTGCTAACGGGGCTTCGCCAACCTTCGCGCGCTGCATTTGCCAAACCATGCATCGCTGGCCAGGCCGGGCCGGCCCATGCTTCGAGGCTAGCCCGAACTACAATGTCAGCATCGCACTAGCTAGCTCGCACGCACCGCATAGCCGTTTGCATGTTTTCGTATAAGTATTTGCTCATGCCTTTGCTCATACTTTGTACTCGTTTGACACAATGCAATTCTCGCTACTTTGATTCATTGCACCTGTAACATTTGGCTATCAGAGCCACTTGCCTTTCGGACCGCGCATTTTTGTTTTCCGCAACCAACAGAACCCAACTTGTGATTTCCACTCGAAGGGACTCGCACCCCTTAGCGTACTAGGAGCCGCTGTCCTCGCGTCCTCGCGTAAACGTGTGCAACCACGAGTACGCCTAGCACCTAGACCGGTCGCCGCCCTTCGACATGGATTAACGTATTCACCTTACGACACTCTAGCAGGAGCGCCTTGACGAGCTGACACGCCAACTGCGCGAAAGCAGCAAAGAAATTGCTGCATTAACGGCATAACATACGGCACTGCAAAACGATGTCACACGGGCGCAACGAGTACAATTACAAATGCAAGGCACACGAGCACAAGGAGCACGACATCGTTGTGGGACGCGTGGTGCGTAGGTCTGCGCGCGAGATTCAATCCGATCGCGGCGTCGATCGCAACGCGACAGAAGCTCCGCACTTGGCGCCAGCTCGGTTCCGTCCAAGACTAAACTGGCGGTTTTATGGCACTCTGCGAGCAGGTGGGATACATGCATGAAGCCGAGCGCATCAATTGATGTCGGTAGCTTGAAAGGCGAAAATGCTTGCGCCGAAAATCTTGCTCCGCAACGTCACGGAGTTCAACGACATCCTCGCCATGGCAGAAAAGCTTGATTTTCTTCGCCGACCGAGACCGGGGTCCTACGGCAACAGCAGCAGCTGGGGATGAACGTGCACGCCACGATATGTATCGTCGCCGCAAATGCCGCTATCGCACCGGTCAAAGGGCGCTGCTTTGCGTGCAACAGGCCGGGGCACAGTGAGAGCGAATGCCCGGAAAACGCCAGGGGAAAGAGGGAGACGGGCTGCAGAAACAGACCAAGGAGTAGGGAAACACTAGGAGTTAGTAGCAGACGGGCCCTCTACTGACAGGTCATGCCGCTCACCCAACCCAACCGACCCTCACCGAGTGATTGTGCCAGTTCATGCAATCGACCACACCCGGCGGAAGAAAGAGGGTACTGTCAGAATCCCAGTCACTTGACCACTAGGATAAAAATGCTTGTTAAGTAGCGGGTCAGTGCGCCAATAACCTCCCTAGGCCAACATGCCTGTAACCGTTCCCTAGGATCAATCGGGGATCACCAGTGGACCTCTGACACCCCCCTGCACTGGGATGCTTGAAGTACACACACTGGGATTCAAACCTGAGACCTTTGCTCTGATACCATGTTAGAATCCCAGTCAGTAGACCACTGGGATAAAAGGGCTAGTTAAGTAGCGCGTAAGTGCGCCCATAACCCCCCAGGCCAACATGCATGTAACCCTTCCCTAGGATCAATCAGGGATCACCAGAAGACCTCTGACGTTAGACAACCCCATACTATTTAGCGGGAAAATTCACACCAGCTTAGTTAAAATCTTTGTAGACGGGGGGGCTAGCCACAACCCGAGCAATACCGCCAATGCACGGAGACCAAAACTAACACTCAACAGATGCTTATCTGAGATTGACGCGATAATGGTGGACGGCACACCACTGGCGACACGGGAACGCGTATACCGAGTTCGGATTTGTTGCGGGTAGCTTCACGTTTCCACAGGAAATGCTGGCGACGACCTTCGAAGGGACCGATTTTTACTCGGCCATGATTGGTTGTGACGACACAACCCACGAATCGACTGGACAACGGGTGACTGCACTGTGCGAGTGAACGATAATAACATTGTGTCACAAAGTAGGAAACGAGAATGACTAGAAACAGGACAGTACAAGGTTTGTATAGGCAAAACCTAACAGTACTGTATCCCATAAAGAGTGCCCCACTACAGCCTACAATATAGTTCTGACACACCCCGATAGGCAAAGTGGGGGACAAGCAAAAGAACAAAGCAAAGGTCAAGCTCAGGGTGGATCACGACGTCACCACGCATTCTGAGCACAAACAAAAGGCCACAAGGCCAGTTCACATGCAGAGTTATATAAAGAGGAGAACAAGTAGTACAGTGATCACAACCTAGCAAGTGTAAGCATGCAGGTGCAGGTATATAAAGATCATAGTACAAGCAAAGTCAAGAGGTGAGCAAGTGAGGCCAGGTAGGCACAAGACCTAACAGAGTACAAAAACGCTGATGATCACAAGGCTGAAGTGCCTTGGTAAAGATATCAGCAGTGTTGGCCCGAGTGGCCACGTAAGCAAGACGAAGCTGACCACGCTGCTGCAACTTCCAAGCAAGGAAGTAGCGCAGAGCAATGTGCTTCGTTCTGTGCTCCTAACACAAGGCAATCATGGCCTTGTTGTCGACGTACAGAACTGGAGGAGAACGAGGCGCCTCTCCCAAGTCGGTCAACAGGTAGGTAAGCCAACGTAACTCCTGTGCAGCCATGACCCCAGCGTAGATCTCAGCCTCCCAACTGGAGCTAAGAACAGAAGACGAGCGGGTAGACCGCCACGAAACGGAGCCGGAACCAAGGCTGAAGGTGTAACCCCGTGGCGTGTTAAGATTAAGGCTAGAACGAGGAGCCATAGCTAGGTAAGCCCTAGCGAGGCAAGTGAAAGTTTAGGCAAAGGAGGAGGGGTTTCACTAGCAGCAATGAGGATACATATAGCAGACCCTAGATGGGTTGTACTCGCTATAGAGCACCCCACTACAGGCTAGAGAATAACATTCTGACATGACGACCGCTGCGTAGCCAAGTCGTCAACACAAGAAGCGTCTGCGTGACCATTGAGGACAACTCAAGCCCGTCCTCCAAGCACGAGCCCCATGCCCGACGTACTGCACAAGTAGCGCAACACCGTCTTAGCTGCATCCATGTGCTCTGGTCGGTGTCTCCCAGGAGCAACA